ATAGGCATATGAGTTGAACATTTACCTGAGGTAGATACACTCCTTGGAGAGAACAATCATTGAGAAAGAAGGGCTGCCTATGCACAGGGAGACAGCTTAGGGGGCAGGAGTCCATGGAGGGATGGACACTGGGAAGAGGTAACTATGTGGAGGAAGTGGGAGGGGAGCTGTTGCATTGTGGTGAACTATGGTCAATGTCATGAGACAAAGTATATATAAACTGCTATATGGAAAGTGAATTTGCTCTGTAAATTTTCACCCAAATCACAATAATAAAAAAATTAAAAAAGGAAAATAAAAAAAGAAAATCCTATGGAGCAGTTCTACTGTGACACACTTGGGGTCACCATAAATTGGAATTGAGTTGATGACAGCTGATTTGGTTTGGTTTGGTTTAGTTAGTTCCTCTGGAATGGGCATGGGCTTCATGTTTGCTGCAGTCTGTGTAGCTCACTCTTTCCTGAGATCCCATATTACACTTGCCACACCAAATGTTTTTTTTTTGGTTTTTTTTTTTTTCACTGTGATTTGGGTGAAAATTTACAGAGCAAATTGGTTTTCCATTCAACAATCATATACATTTTGTTTTGTGACATTCATTGTAATCCCAACGTAGAAGTGCTCTTCCCACTTCCCTCCTGTGTTTACCATTTCCCTTCTTCATCCTTCTTTCTTATCCCCTCCTGCCTTCTTACCTTTATCCCTAGGCATATGCTGCCTTTTTGATCTCATATGGTTGATTATTCTAATGAGTGCATACTTTCCTGGAATTATTGTTTATCAAATAGGCCTATCTTTTGGCTGAAAGTTGAGCCATGGAGGTGAGTTCAGTTCTTGAATTGAAGAGTGTCTAAGGTCTGTAGGGGAGCTCTGGTGGCATAGTGCCTAAGGCATTTGACTGCTAACCAGAAGGCTGGAGGTTCAAACCTACCAGCCACTCCTCAGAAGGAAGGTTGGGCAATCTACTTCTGTAGAGATACTGCCTCGGAAACCCAAGCAGGGGCTGCCATGAGTCAGAAATGATTCAACGGCAGTGAGTTTGGTTTGGTTTAAGGTCCATAGTCTTGGGGGTTCCCCCAGTTTCTACCAGACCAATAAGCCTGGTCTTTTTTATGATTTTAAGTTTTTTTCCACATTTTTCTCCTACTCTATCCAGGACCTCCTACTGTGACCCCTTTCAGAGCAGTCAGCAGTGGTGGCTGGGCACCGTTGTTAGTTCTTCTTGTCTCAGGGCTGCAGAGGCTGGGATTTGTGTGGTCCATTAGTCCTTTGGACTGATTGTTTCCTTGTGTCTTTTATTTTCTTCATTGCTCTTTGCTCTGGATGGGGAGAAACCAATAGTTGCACCTTAGATGGCCTCTCACAAGCTTTTAAGACTCCAGATGCTACTCCCCATCCATGTAGAACATTTTCTTTGTGGACTATCATATGCCAATTGAATCTTGTTGTATCCCAAGACTATGGTCCAGAGCACCATGCCCAGCAACTCATTCCCTCAGGGTATTTGGTTATGGCTAAGAAGTTTTCATAATTTTGCCCCCTGTATGCTCTACTATATTCATGGATGTATTAGCAGCAAATGTAAATACATTAGAACTATCCTCTGTCAAACCTATATATATTCATGGTTGTAGTCCCATTTGCTTTCCCACATCTGTTCAACTTCAGTATCTATCTGTGTATCCACTCACAGATAATTGTTATTATTGTAATTGCAGGATTGTGTAAATAATAATATTTATCTTTGTTGTCTTTAACTCTTGTGCTCCTCCTAGTGTCTTCCCTTGCCTTGATCATTTTGTGCTAACCTCTCTTATTGTATGTTGTCTTATCCTTCACTCAAGTTAATATGTTCTATTCTGTAGATGTCAGGGATTTCATTTTACTTGGTTCCACCATCAATACCAATGGAAGCAGTAGTCAAGAAATCAGATGATTTATTGCACTGGGCATACCTGCTGCTAAAGACCTCTTTAGTGTTAAAGAGCAAAAATGTCAATTTGAAGACTAAGTATACCTGACCCAAGCCATGGTATTATCAGTAGTCTCATAGACAAATGAAAGCTGGACAATGGATAAGGAAGACTGAAGAAGAATTGATGCTGTTGGTGAAGAATATTGAAAATATCATGGACTGCCAGAAGAATGAACAAATCTGTCTTGGAAGAAATACAGCCAGAATGCTCCTTAGAAATGAGAACAGCCAGACTTTGTCTCTCGTACTTTGGTCTTGTTGTCAGAAGGGACTAGACCCTGGTGAAGGATATCATGCTTGGTAAAGTAGAGAGTCAGAGAAAAAGGGGAACAACCTCAATGAAATGGATTGACACGGTGGCTACAATGAAGTGCTCAAGTATGACAAGGATTGTGAGTATGGTGCAGGACTGGGCAGGGTTTCATTCTGTTGTACAAAGGATCACCATGAGTTGGACCTAATTTGATGGCATCTAGCAACAACAAATCCATCCTCTGGTTAGTGATATACCCTCCCTTCTCTTCCCACCCCCGGTAATCTTCAGAGAATGATTCTTTCAGTGTATAAACATTTTCTTGACTTTTTACAGTAGTGGTCTCATACAATATTTGTCCTTCTGTAATTGACTACTTTCACTCAGTATGATGTCCTCAGGTTCATCTGTGTTATTTCTCAGATTCATCGTTATTCTCTAACATTGTGTGGTATTCCATTGTGTGTATTTATCATGCCACACCAAGTCTTGAGGAAGGTCAATAACCCCTAGAAGATTTATCTCAGCTGAAATGCAAGCTCCCTCACACTATTATTATCCATCTAATTTCACACTGGGATCCACTCCATTTCCTTCTCAGGGAGGCTACAAGTTACACAGTCTCCTGTGGGCCCGCTTCAAGGGCTTCCCTATCAGGGCTTCACACGATTTATTCTGAGAATATTCCACCCCAGATACACTGAACTATAATCTACCTTCTAACAAGATTCCTATTCTGGGGTGGAAATGGAAATTCTCAGCAAGAGGTCAAACCAGAATGAACAGGTTTTAAGCCCTGTTCCTACACCTTACTGTCCTTGTATTGAGACCATTCGTGAACTCTTCTCTCTCACAAGATGGTGCCTTCCTTTATGGACTTTTTTCAAAGATTTACACAGACCCTAGGATCAAGGAGGCTCTTAAGATTTATTGATGAAATAGAGAAAGATAAAAGACAAACAGAGAAGGAGAGAAGGCAGGGAAGGACGTTTTCCATTTTTGCCACTGTGAGGACAATTTATTTTGCTTCAACATTGGCTTCATCTTGATTTTTTTATTTTCCACTCCCACCACTTTTCCTTTTCTCCTCAGAGTCACAGCCAAACTCTTGGCATATTCACCCTTCTAGCCAGCCTCTCTCAATAATAACAGCAGCCATTCTTTAAGCTCTGTGCCAGCAGATTATGTATTCTACCTTATTCATCCTCACTGGATGGAGAATGTCCATAAAGATATTCTCCCCCATTGTACAGCCAAGGAAGCTGAAGTTGGTGAGGGGTGGAATTAAGACTTGTTCCTCCACCTTGTTGTTGATGTTGTTGTTAAGTGCCCTCGATTCAGCTCCAACTCAACAGGATGAAACACTGCCCAGTCTATGCCATACTCACAGTCGTTGCTGTGCTGGAGCCCATTGTTGCAAACAAATGTCAATCTGTCTCCCTGAGGGTCTTCCCCTTTTTCTCTCATCCTCTAACTTACCAAGCATGATATCCTTCTCCAGGGACTGGTCCCTTCTGACAACATGACCAAAGTACGAGAGACAAAATCTGGCCATTCTCATTTCTAAGGAGCATTCTGGCTGTACTTCTTCCAAGATAGATTTGTTCATTCTTCTGGCAGTCCATAGTATTTTCAATATCTTTCACCAGCACCACAATTTAAATGCATTAATTCTTCTTTTCTTCCTTATTCATTGTCCAGCTTTCACATGCATATGAGGCTATTGAAAACATCATGGCTTGGATCCTTAGTTTTTAAAGTGAGATCTTTGCTCTTTAACACTTTAAAGAGGTCTTTTGCAGCAGATTTGCTTAATCCAATATGTCATTTGATTTCTTGATTCCCCTTCCAACACCTGGAAAATCCTCTCCGGATGGCAAAAGTGGCAGGCAGCTGGCACATAGTTCATGCATACACAGACACACACCATACGTATATCCTGACCTACCTGGACCTGTCATGACTGTGCTCCTGATGCCTAGTGTGTAGTAGGTGCCCAGTAAATATTTTTTAATGGGTGAATGGATGTAAATATTCCTCTCCATATTAAGGAACCAAATAGAAAGAGATCAGAAACATGACTCATTACTTTTCAAAGACTGCTTGCTTACCTCTGTCTTTTACCTATTGCAGAAGTGATGGCCAAGTAGCCTTGTCTATGTGTAGCGCTGAAGTTGTTCTGAGCATATGTTCCATTATGCTTTGAAATCTGAGTGTAACTATGGGCCTGGCCCAGCTGCAAGAAAGCCCTTTATGAGGTCATCAACCTACACTTGCCAGATCTCCACAGATGTAGACATGCACTCTTTTAAAAACACTTGAGGAGCCATGATGTTTCACTTTGCAAACCCTCTTTTAAGAAACATCATTATCAGAAGAAATCAATTTGATAGCATCAAGAGGAAGCAATGCCTCCAATATTTGAAAACTCTGAGAAACCTGCAATATGATGGGTTCAAGACTGTATTTTTGGGAGAAACAAATATCCCTGAAAGTCTTGTAACTGGGGAAGATTTTGGTGATGGATATTCCATGCAAAATCCAATTTGGTGTATTGTGCATGCTGGTGGTAGTCAAGGATGGGTGCCTTGGAAATACCGGCTGTTCCTACGAGATGAGTTATGTATCAAGCAAGAAGACAGCCTCTTCTTTGAGTTCTGTGATGTGGTGAAGAAGGCCTATGGGAAGTGTGCCATTGTGGTCAAAGAGAAAAGACAGCAGGATGAGATAAGGCCAGAGGAAGACAAAGAGTCAAAGGACCAGTCCCATGCCCCATCAGTCATTAACCTAACAAGCATTGTGTGTTGCCCAGAGGTGGCCAAGTCCTGTGGCCACGAGCTGCTTTCTCTGCCTTTCCTTTACAGTTACCTGAACCCTTTAGACTCAGCCTGGTCTTCTCTGAAATGGTTTATCATCAATAACAGAAAAGAGTTTTCTTTGCAGTCTATTGACAGTAACTATTCTTACCAGTATATACTTCTCAGTGACTTGATTAGCAAAGGGATTGAAAGGATAAGCCCAGGCAAGTGGAAAACAATAACTAACAAAGTGCGAAGATGGGAAAACTACTATCTTGGTAAATTTTCTTAAGGGTATTTCCTCCAACCGCTAGTGAGCCTCTGCTCTGTGTCCGGTCTTTGCCAACTCTGTTGAGCTAGAGTTCAGACCACTTCAGCCAAAGATACTTCAGCGATGACCTCACATGGATATTGTGCAGATTAAGAGGTTTCTAAAGATGTTGGCAAAATGCTTTGAGTTTACTGGAGTGGTCATTAAAGCATCTCAGTAAATTAGGGGTCTGAACGCTCATCTTGTTAAGCCCACTTTGAGGGCTGTGTCAATGGGAAAATTAGGGCTGATCTAGCTCAAATGAGGATGGTGATGGGGGTGTGCTAAAGAGCATATTATGGATTGAATTATGTCCCCCCCCCCAAAAAAAAAAATATGTGTTGAAATCCTAACCCTTGTATCTGTAACAACAATCCTATTTGGAAATAGGATTTTCATTTGTTATGTTGATGAAGTCATACCAGAGTAGGATGGGTCCTAAATCTAATTACTTCTGAGTTATAAAAAGAGCAGAATAGACACAGAAACAGACACAGGGGAAATACATATGTCTAGGAACACCAAAGAACACCAAGGAGCTACCAGGTCTACTGACAAGGAAAGACCTCCCCCTAGAGCTGTACCTTGAATCTAACTTCTAGCCAGCTAAACTCTGAGAAAATGAATTCAGTTCTGTACAGTCACCCACTTGTGATATTTGTGTTACAGCAGCACTAAGTAACTAAGACAGAGCATGTAATCAAAATTTAGGTCTGAAAATAATCCAAACTTCCCATCAAGTAAAAAGTGAAAGTTAAGTAGAGTACAGTGGTAGTTAACTTTGTGTGTCAACTTGGTTGGGCCTGGTTGAGAGGCTGGGCAGCTGGATGATGAAACTGGTAATCAACTCCATGGTGGAATCTACTGTAAGCAGCTGAGTAGCTGCCTTAGGGATGCGGTATGCTTCCTGTATACAAGAAAAAGCCTTGGGGGAATGGTCTCTGACTTTATGGCATGCTTAAGCCCTGCATGTAGCCATGTCTTTGTTCAGCAGCCTGCCATGCTCGGCCAACCTCTGGATTTTCAATGGACTTGAATTAATGGCCTGCTGTGTGGTGTAGTATGGTAATATTGGGACAGTGCCTCCTTACTTGTCAACCTTGGACTTGTCAGCCTCAGCAGCCAGCAGCTGAGTGAAAAAAAAATAGCCTCTAGCTCCAGTGGGCCAGGAGCAGGAGGCAGAGCTGAAGCCCAAGGTTGAGGGGCTTTCACCCAGCCCCTAGAGCCTGGCACTTTGAACTCGGACTTAAAGCCTCCAAACTGTGAGAGAACAAGCTCCTGTTTGTTCAAGCCATGCCATTTGTGGTATAATCCTGTCAGAGCAGTACTAGGTAACTAAGACAGAGCACATAATCAAAATTTAGGTCTGAAAACAATCCAAACTTCCCATTAAGTAAAAAGTGAAAATTAAGTAGTGTACAGTGGTAGTTAAGTTTGTGTGTCAACTTGGTTGGGCCTGGCTGAGTGGCTGGGCAACTGGATGTAGTTATTCCCCATGGTGAGATTGGTAGTTAACTCCATGGTAGAATCTATTGGAGTAGCTGAGTAGCTGCTTTAGGGATGTGGTCTGCTTCCAGTATATGAGAAACAACTTTGAGGAAGGTCTCCAGCTGATGGTACACTTGAACCCTGCATGTAGCTGAGTTGCTGTTTAACAGCCTGCAATGTTGCACCCTGCCATGTTGCATCCTGCAAATCTTGGCACTTTTAATGGACTTGAATTAATGGCCTACCATATTGTTTGGTGACATTGGGACTGTGCTTTTTCATTTTTTGACCTTGGGTTTGTCAGCCACAGCAGCCAGCAACTGCCTGAGTGAAGAAAAGCCTCCAGCTTCAGTGGGCTGGGAGTAGGAGGCAAAGTTGAAGCCCAAGTTTGAGGAGTTTTCACCCAGCCCCTAGAACCTGGCACTTTGAACTCAGGACTTCTAGCCTCCAAAACTGTAAGAGAATAAACTCCTGTTTGTTCAAGCCATCCCATTTGTGGTATTTCTGTCAGAGCAGCACTAGGTAACCAAAACCTGTACCAACCAGTTTCAGCCCACCAAAATCATCCAGAGGAGATAGCTTGTCATTGGTAAGAGACATTGTCCAGATTGTGTCAGAAAAAGGATCTTTCCTTCCCATGACATGTAAGCAAGGCAGGAAGGGGAGGGAGAGGCATCTAAGAAGGCAGAATCCCATTCAGACCCTCCAAGGCCAGCTGGTCATCCCGAAGAGGGACCTTAAATGTTATGAACGTTATTGCCTAAAGAGGGGACTTGTTAGGTGAATAGGTGGAACAGAGCAAGGTCTGTGGAACACACTTACCCAATCCATTTCCCATCCTGATCCAAGAATCCCAGTAGAAAGGCATTACACTTTGCCATAGAGTTGAATCTCAGGGCCTTGAGATAGTTAAGCTGCATTTAGCTGGTAAAATAGCACCATACTCAAGCTTGGGACTGCTGCTGATGTGTGTTGTGAGGATTTTATTGAAAAAAGCCTGGCTCCTATTAAACATATCATAAAATCCATTCTCATTTATATATGTTCTGCAAATAGTTTTACAATAGATGCCATCTTTCTACAGTGTGTAAAAATTAACTTATGAAAATTTCTACCCAACTCCTAACAGATTTAACTATCTAAAGAATGTGAGGCCAGGTTCTTGACACCCATGTGCAGAAAGCATCACATTCATAGCCTTTGCTCATCTTTCTGCCCTGTTCCCCTCCTGAGTTTCCTTGTATTATTCAGGAGTACTTTGTCAGAGGAAAATAGAGGTTGAAGAAAATAGAGGTGGAGTGGTGGATTTCTGCAGCACTCTGTTTTTGTTATATATCTGATGATAAAATGTATCCAAAACCATGGCATCTCAGTCATCATAGATTCCAATGTACAGCCAAGAGGCTGTATTAGGTTCCTGTGGCTGCTGTAACAAATCACCACAAATTGGATGCCTTCAAATAGTAAGCATTTATTCTCCCTCAGTTCTGAAGATCAGAAGTCTGGCATGAGTATCACTGCGCTGAAATCAAGGTGTTGTTGGCAGAGCCAGACTCCTTCTGGAGGCTCTAGGGAGCAAAACCATTCCTTGCCTTTTCCAGCTTCTTCTGGCCACCAGCATTCCTTGGCTTGTGACCACATCACTCCAGCCTCTGCCTCTGTGGCCTCATTACTCTTTCCTCTTCTGTGTCAAATCTCTCTCTGCTTCCCTTTATAAGGACACTTGTGGTTGTGTTTAGGGCCCACCTGGGTTATGTAGGATCCTCTCCCCATCTCGAGATCCTTAACTTAATCCCATCCGCAAAGTCCCTTTTGCCATATAAGGTAACAGTCACAGGTTCTAGGGACTAGGACCTGGGTATCTTTGAGGATCATTATTCAACCATTACCACAGGTCCTAAAGAAGGTCTTGTTCTGCCAACTGAAATATTACATTCCCCATTGGGAATTATTTTAGTGAAACAACCCTTAAGGGTATAATATGTTTGTGGGATCTTCTCTACCTCTCTCATGTATGTTTTAGATTTAACATCCTAAAAGTAGATAAAAGGACTCAAACCTCCTCAGTCACTCCAGTGTCCTGGCACTGTGCTGGTCCAAGTATAGGTGGCCTGAGCCTTGGGATATGAGTGGGTTTTGCCCCTATGTCACATCTATTACTCAGCTACCCAGAGTACTATAGTGATAAGTGCTAAGAGCTTTACAGTGTGTCTTGTCAACACTGTACATGCTTAACAGCTTGTGATGTAGAAATTATGCTTCCGTTTTACAGATGACAGAAACCAAGGCACAATGTGATTATGTAGCTTCCTTCTGTGTGGAGGAGCTAAGATGCAGACCCAGAGTTCAGGTGGGTTTGAACCACCAGTCTTCTGGTTAGCAGTCAAATACCTTAGGCATTACACTACCAGAGCTCCGCTATAATCAGCAGTTTCACCTAATCCTCATAACAGCCCTATCAGATAGATCCTATCTTTGTCTCCAGATGAGCAAACTGAGGTATAGAGAGGTCAGTAAGACCAGCTAGATTCAAAGGTCCATGCTCCTAATTACTCTGCTCAACTTGTTCATTGAAACTCAGTTATCTCTTTTTCACTCCCATAATTCACATGTCTTAAGGCTCGAGTCCAACATCTAAATATCAGCTGGCAAAATGGCCATCTCCAGCTGGATGCCACAACAAAAGTGTCTCTCAGTACAAAACTGAGTCAGAGGCAGAATGTTTTAAAGACATTATTTACAGTGAAAAAAATTAACATTTTTTAGGTTATTAGATGAACAGAATGAAAACAGGAGCTATTTTTGTTAGAAAATCAAAACAATCTAATAAAAGGGGATTTGAGGCCTATCCATTTGAGGCCTGGCTTAATTATTAGAAAAGCAAGTAGAGGAAAAAGAGATCAGAAGGGCCACCTTTAATTTGCAATTTAGTTACATAAGATTGTATTCATAATGAAGAAGTACTGCTTTATATTAGCATGGAAGTTTCCAGTAGGAAGCTCTGGGCTTTGGGAATGGGATGGACTTAGTTGGAATCTTAATTTCCCAGCTTATTAGCTATGAGACTTTGGTCATGTTATTTTCTTCCCTGAGGCTCAACGAACTCATTAGTAAAATAGGTGTGAGGGCTTTAAAAGCCTTGTACGGTCACTACATTGTGTCTGGCACCTCGTGGGTGCCCAATAAATGGAATCTCATAGGCCAGGTTGAGGTCAAAGCAAATGTATCCACAATTAGAACGAATATCAATAACTCCATTTCCTTTTTACCCTTTGAGGAAAATTTTTGCTTTTTAGCACTGGGATATAATAAGCATAGACACATCTTAAGATACTTTGATCATAGGAAACTTTGGCATTTCTTTTAAGACCATCTGTAATAGGTTAAGGAAGAATTAATGATGATAAGAGGGTGTGTAGTTTTGTTTTGTTTTTTCATGGGGGTGGGACAAGGTAAATGGTGAGTACAGCCCAGAATCTCTTTGGGAACAGCCA